CTTCTGATATCTAATGACTTATGGTCATTATGATGTGCCAATGGGTCTTTGCTTGTAGAAGTCATAGGTTGGTTAAATGCTGGAGTCAGAGCAGTTGCTAGGATCTCAGAACCCCAGCAAGATCCACTAATATTGATTTCTTCATCAATTTTACCCAAAGGCAACAGGCTGTCATTTTAATATTGGAAGTAGTCCTGGTCTGAAAAATGACACATAATTTTCTCCTCACTTCTTTCAGACAGACAGAGAAAATTAGTGTTCTTTTTAGAGAATAACAACAACAACAACAACAACAACAATAATAATAATAGAGTTGGAAGAGACCTTGGAGGTCATCAAGTCCAACCCCCTGCTCAGGCAGGTAACCTATACCATTTCAGACAAATGGCTGTCCAGTTTCTTCTTAAAAACTTCCAGTGCTGGAGCATTCACCGCTTCTGAAGGCAGGTTGTTCCACTGGTTAATTGTTCTAATTGTCAGTTGCTTCTCTCTTTGGTTAGTTTCCATCCATTGCTTCTTGTCCTGCCTTCAGGCGCTTTGGAAAATAGCTTGACTCCCTCTTCTTTGTGGCAGTCCCTGAGATATTGGAACACTGCTATCATGTCCCCCCTCGTCCTTCTCTTCATTAAACTAGACATACCCAATTCCAGCAACCGTTCCTTATATGTTTTAGCCTCCAGTCCCCTAATCATCTTTGTTGCTCTTCTCTGTACTCTTTCTAGAGTCTCAACATCTTTTTTACATCATGGTGACCAAAACTGGATTCAGTATTCCAAGTGTGGCCTTACCAAGGCATTGTTAAGTGGTATTAATACTTCATGTGATCTTGATTCTATCCCTCTGGTAATGCAGCCTAGCACTGTGTTGGCTTTTTTGGCACCTGCAGCACACTGCTGGCTCATATTTAAATGATTGTCCACTTGGATTCCGAGATCCCTCTCACAGTTACTACTATTGACCAAGGTACCCCCTATACTATACCTGCATATTTGGTTTTTCTTGCCTAAATGTAGAGCCTTACTTTTTTCATCATTGGATTTCATTTTGTTAGATAGTGCCCAGTGTTCAAGTCTGTCCAGAACCTCCTGTATCCTAAGCCTGTCTTCTGGAGTGTTGGCTATTCTTGCCAGCTCAGTGTCGTCTGCAAATTTGATGAGTTCCCCATCTATCCCCTTGTCCAAATCATTGATGAAGATGTTGAAGAGCACTGGCCCAGAACAGAACCTTGGGGCACCCCACTACACACTTCCTTCCATATAGATGTGGTTCCATTAAGGACCACACGCTGAGTACGGCCAGTTAGCCAGCTACGGATCCATCTGGTGGTGATGCTGTCTAACCCGCATTTTTCTATCTTATCAAGTAGTAGGTTGATCTACTTTGTCAAATGCCTTACTGAAGTCCAAGTAAATTATATCCACAGCATTCCTCTGGTCCACTAATTTTGTCACTTGGTCAAAGAATGCAATAAGATTTGTCTGGCATGATCTGTTTTTGACAAACCCGTGTTGGCTTTTAGTAATGACTTTGTTTGCCAGAAGGTGTTTGCTGATTCGTTGTTTGATTTGCAACCAAAAGACTCCCATTTGTTTTTTCTTGCGGAATATGTAGGACTACAAGCTGAAATGAAGGAGGCAAAATAGACAGTCTTCCCTGAACTTATTATTACCTCTTACTAAATAGAACATAGAATAATAGGAGTGAAGGGAGCTTTGGAGGTCTTCTAGGACAGCCTCCTGCACGTAGCAGGAGACCATTCTGGATGGCTGTCCAATCTCTTCTTGAAAACCTCCAACAATGGAGCACCCACCACATCTGAAGGCAAGCCATTCATACATCATATAGTTTAGCCTCTAGACTCCTTATAATTTTTATTGCTGTTCTCTGCACTCTTTCTAGCATCTCAACGTCTTTTTTGTATCATGGTGATCAGAATTGGATGCAGTATTCCAAGTCTGGGCTCATTAGTACAGCATAATGTGGTTCTATCACTTCACGTGACCTTGAAATTATCCCTCTGTTGATGCAGCCTAGGACTGCATTAGCTTTTTTGGCAGTTGCCCCACACTGCTGGCTCATACTTAAGTGGTGGTCTACCAAGACACCTAGATCTCTCTCACATTGGCTACTTTTGAGTCAGGCACCACCTATTCCACATCTGCATTGGTTTTTATTGCCTAATGTAGTATCTTACTTTTCTCACCACTGAATTGTATTTTGTTGGATAGGGCCCGGTGTTCAAGTCTGCCAAGGTCCTTCCAAATCTTGAATCTATCATGTAAAGTGTTAATTATTCCCCCTAGGTTGGTATTGTCAGCAAATTTGATGAATTCCCTTTCTATCTCCTCATCTAGAATATTTATGAGGATATTGAAAAATACTGAGCCTAAGACAGAACCTTGAGGTACCCCCTGCATGCTTCATTCAAGATATAGATGTAGTTCCATTGAGGACTACCTGCTAAGTGTGGTTGGTCAGCCAAATAGCAAATGTTTATTTGCTATATATGCTTTAGAACCCTTTGAAAAATAATAACCAATAAGTATTATAATATTAGAAAGTTTGCAGATTGTGGTATTCTACTAGCACATGAGAACACTTTCAGCAAGGTGCCTGCAGAAAGCTCTCTAAGGCCCACCCTCTTTACCTCCCCGGGTTCTGTTAGAGAACCATGCGCTGAAAAGGACAAATATTTTCATATCACCTACATTCGTCTTCCAGAAGGAAAGGCCTCTGAAAGTAGGAAAGATTTCCCTTTGGGAATGGATCCCTGAGGCACCTTCTCAATTTCCAGGGCTCTCGAGGAAGTGGTGGGACTAAGAGCATATCTCCATTCAATGAAAAGCTTATTAAGTATGTAGGCGATACATTTGAATGTATCTTGCTAGGTATAAATTCTAATAGTATCACTTCGTATAAATACTTTCTTAATTAATTTAAAAGGTTTAAAATATTTATATTTTTAGCAATTGCAAGCTACAAGTATTTTAATGTTTGTTTAAAAATATGAAGTAACACGTGGCCTATATGTTGCACACTAAACATAAAAGTGAATTCTGTATGTATGTACAAGGGTGAATCTTAAACTGTTATTATGGCCTTCTTTTTTCCACTTTCTGTAAACCTTTAAGTTAGCTTAACATAATTTTTCAATTAGTTTAGTAGAACCTGTTCTCAAGGCTCAATTAGTTTAATAGAACCTGTTCTCAAAGCTCAGTTTAGTTTAGTAGAGCCTGTTTTTCCAAATAAGAAAAAAATACACTTAAAGTATGTATTATTAGTGATTAAATTGTAAAATGTGACTGCTTTAGTATGGTTTCAGATTATCTTTATTTAAACCCTTCTCTTTACATTATTAATGGTCCAGTGATGATCTCACAGCACACCTCTGATATCTGCTTATCAGACCCAGAACTATAAGTTGAAAAGTTGTGATCTGGACAGTTGTTTCATTAACAATCACCTAAATCCATCAGAGAATATTCGCTCATGATGAATCAAATTAAAATAAATATATACCTTGGATAGTATTTGTGGCGTACATCTCATAGTTTGTGCAAAGGTTATATTTTTTTGATGTTATTTTCCTACAGTCAAGTAAGTTTGTGTGTGTGTGTGTGTGTGTGTATCTGTGTGTGTGTGTGTGTGTGTGTGTGTGTGAGAGAGAGAGAGAGAGAGAGAGAGAGAGAGAGAGAGAGAGAGAGAGAATGTGGGGTTAAATCCTTTTCTTTCTCCCGTGTCAGCATCCCAGACTGGAGCACAGATGTCATTTTCAAATGCTTCCATAGACAGAGAAGTATTCACACGTTAGCCTCTTCCATCTCTCTCTGTTCTTGCAGTTGCTGTGGTTGTTCAAAGGAAGGTTCAGGAGAACACAAAAAAAAATGGGATTCAGTTTCTTTTTCTGTGTTTCTAGGCTCAGGTGAACACAAAAAATGGGATTCGGGGAGAGGCTTTTTTTTTCTGTGTCTTAGATCTCATGTTAGTGATATGCATCCTTTCCTTGCTCTGAAACAATGTTAGTGCTTTTTGTGAAGACTGTCCTAGAAACCCAGGGAAAGAGGACATAGCCACACCTGAATCCTCTCTTGTAACTTCTTTTGCATGTTTACAGACCAGAAACTGATCTCTTTCTTTCAAATGTCAAATTCTTGACTCTTGGATAGAAGGAAATAAGACAATAGCATCCTGACATTTAAAATGTCAATCTGGCACAAACTACCATCACAACACTCTTTTTCATGACTTTCCTACTCTCCTTCTTGAGCTAGGAAGAGATTTGTTTTCTCTTTTTCCACAAGGAATAATGAAACATAACTACACTTTATCTTCCTTATTTAGTGCTTACTAGGTATGTTGAATTGTAATTCTCATTCATCATCACTCAGTATACCGGGCTTGCTGGTTGCTTCAAATGGAAACTGTAGGGCAATGCTTTGAAGAATAGCAGGAAGGCTGTCTGACCTGATCATCATCCTTCTTTTGTTCATACAGTATATCTTTGCCTGTATGCCATTACTTCTTTTTTCTTGCATAATTTTCTGATAATCACCCTCCTTCAGTATTTAGGCTGTAAGTTCTTTGGATCTCTTCTTAATTTGCTGAGTAGTAAAATCTAATTGAAAAGATTCACTGGTTGAAGTTTTGAATCCCCACTGACTGCAGGGTATACTGCACAATTCTAGACTATTTAATCTATTGTCCAGCAATTCTTTTTAGTAAACTTGGTACAAATTTGTCTGAACATTGAGTGCTAAGGCTTTGATACTATTTATAATAATGAATTTGCGTACATACTGCCATATTTTCCTTCATAAATCATTACCAACTAATTCCTTGGTAAATTTGCTTTACACAAAAAAAAAGAATTTTTTTTTTTTAAAAAAGAGGTCTTATAATATTGAAATTCACACCCAATGGTTTGGCAAGCAAGTCTCCCTCTCCTCCCTCCCTATGCCCAACCTGAACAAAGAACCCACTTGTGTTGGAGCAGGGCTTACCTTCGCTCAGGAGGAGAGCAGCAAGGGGCCGATCCTGGCAGGTGAGTGAGCTGCACAAAGTGACAGGAGGCAGAGAGCTGCCTGTTCCAAGGAGTTGCAACTGAGAAGCTCTGGGCTTCAAAAGCCCGCGAGTCATTTATAACTCACCTCAGTCAAGAGGACAGAGGGCAGAGCTTGGAGTCTGATTGGCTTGTTAGCCAGGCAGTTGCTAACAGCTCTATCCAGGCAAAGCCCAGGGGATAGGAAAAGGAGATAAGAAGGCACTAGAAGGACAGCTCCCCCCACCCCTAATTTCTATATATGTCTCCCTTCCCTTTAGAATCAGATTGTTTGATCCCCTTGACCTAGGTGGACACTCTTAGACAATACATTACATTCAGAGTCCAGTGGGCTCCCCCCCACATAACTCTGTTTACAAAGTTGGGACTTTTGGGAGGGTTACCAATTGAGGAATTGCTTTTGTTGACCTGTTCTATGGTTTCCTGATGGGCTGGACAGTGTCTCCTGCCAGTCTATCTGTCTTCTTGATGGCCAATCTGCATCAATCAAGGACAATGGGACTCATTGTGCCATCTACTGAACTCCCAAAAGTTGGGCTTTGAAGATGGGATGTCCAGGGGAAAACACTTCCTTTCTTGCTTCCACGTTTTATTTTAGAAAAGAATGAGATAAAAGAGATAGAATCAAAGCAAAGGAAATACCTCCTCAAAAGTGGCAATTTATTCTGAACATAGGTGTGCAGACATCTAAATCACACAAGGCTATAGTTTTAAATGAGCTCATTAGAGTAGAGTGCCAAAATAAAAACATATTCTCTCCATTTGTATGCCTGTCATGATCCTTTAAAAATAATTTTAAAGAAATGTACTATCAATAGATTGCAGCTCCTGTTGGGAGAGCTAATGTCATAGACACTGGAGCAAATGTTAGGATATGATTGAAACTGCAGTTTTAAAAAAGCATGTGCAGGGCTGCCCTTTGCTTTCCTCTGCTTTTTACTGCAGAATGATTATACTAGCATTTTCCTGAGTGAAATAGAAAAGTAGAATGCAGTGATCTGTTCACTTCACTTTGCACCCAGTGGCAATTCTTCAGACAGTGACACAAGGAAGATTTCATGCCTAAAGCTTGATGAAGATTGGCTGGTGGGTGCATAGAAGTGAGCACCACACTTCTGAGTGATTAGTGAGTGGTGAGTGGTGATGATTAGCAATCAACATAGATTGTACATTGACTACACAGTGATTCTGTGCACTCCGATGCTAATATCGGGAGATAAGCTACAATATCGGGAAATAAGCTATAATCCAATCAGCAATATCCTACAAATATTGGCAGAGATGTTCACAGCAATACTCCCCTTTGTTGTTTTGATATCCAGCTGCTGTGAAAGAGCAGGGAAAAGAGAAGAATTGGAAGCAGAAACAGAAAGGTAAAGCAGGAAGAGAAAAGAATGGCAATGTCACTGACAGGTTCCCAAGAATTTACATTTAGCCCTGGGAAAATAATTTTGATATATGGGTATTTTTTTTCAAATGAGGAGTCCAAGAGTATCAGTAATTTTTCATCCATAAATATAATTAATATTACAAACTTATCACATTGTCCAGAAATCATGCTTGTTTGGTTTATCAATGAAAGCAGAAGTCTGATTAATTGTTTCCAGAGAGATAAGAGGAAATAGGTGCACATTTGTTCTCCTGTAAACATAATTAATTATCTGTATCACCTGACATTACAGGGCAGCTTGATATGAAACTACAGAAATCCCAGAAAAAGAAAACTGCAGGGAATATCATACCTGTAATGTTGTCTTTCCTGGCCTCATGTCCTTGAGAGTTGTTGGAACTTCATTGTTCAGGCTTCTCTGCCAACATAGTCAGTCTGGTTCAGCTTCTGGAACATGTATTCCATTATACACCTCAAGAGTACCAGATTTCAGGTGACTGCTTTGTAAGATCCTCAGCTCCACATCCTTCTACTATATTCAAGCATAGCTTAGAACTCTTAATGGAGTCTTCATAACATCACTGTGAAGATGAGATGGAAGAAAGTGATTTCAAAGCCATATTTATTTTACCCATAAATATATGAGTCTTTTTTCTTTTCTCAAAACATGCATAATGAATAGTGAATGTATGATGTTGGAGTGATGACTGCTTACTAAAAAAAACCCTGCTATACATGTATACAGCTCATGGCTATATATAGTTGCCAAATAGAGTAATCCTATGTTTCTGAGTTAGTGGAAGATTATCATCTCTGAACTTTACTTTATAGGGTTCCTAGAGGTTTCTATTTAACCACTATAAGATGTTGGACTGTATGTATCAATGAACTTCACCACACTTGCTTTCTCAAAGTTTACTTTTGAATAAAGTTTAATATCATGGGATTCAGTGGATTTAAGGTTAAGTGTTTCAATGCATGATTTAGAACAGAAACAAACAAACAAGACTTATTAATGGTGAAAAGATGTTTCTTTCTTAAGTTTGCATAGCAAATACTCAGAACATTGGAATAGTTGTTAGCCCTTGCCTCTTTTTGTGGTGGTTACCTGGTAGACTGGAAACTACTACTGGATTGCAGTCTGATACTCCATAGGGTTCATGAGCAGCATTATCGCATCTACCATTATTAATTTTTAAAAAGCAGCAAATCTCAAATGTAATGGTTGGACTAAAAGAAGGTTTCAAGTCTTCTTCGTATTCTACTGCTCTGTTCCAAGACTGATTTAATTACTACTAGCTGTTAAACTTCACATATTTATTTCACTTTCTTGCATATTTCTTTTCTTAATCAAATATCATTCCAGTGTACACACATAGACAACTGGTGTGCATGTCTGACGTTCAAGTCTGGCGTTATACTTTTAAAAATGAGTTTAAAAATTGGGTTACATTTTTATGATATGTATAAGGTATCAGCATACTTAATGATCCCTGGAAAATGGAATCTGATATGAGGAAAATATAAATGTGTATGTACACTTTTTTTTTATCTTCTTCAACATTTTGTATTATATTTGGCCAGTAATGTTTAGTGGAGATGCTCTGAAACTATGGTAAAAAAAACTCTGGATTGCAGATGGACTCCATAAAAGCTGGATGATTCTTCCATCACTTTTGTACTCTACATATTACTATATAGTTTTATAGAAAAGTTTTAAACTATGAACAGATCCTCACAAAAATCTAATTCTTATTAAAATATGGATGCATGTGTTGATATATTTATTTAACTGACACATAGACCATTTCAATTGTAAATAATAGTATATAAATATTGTATAAATAAAATGTATACTCTAAATAGCATATTTCCCAAGATATTTATGTCAGGTTAGATAGCTATAATTAAAAAGAAGAGAATTGGTTTTTGAACATATTAATAAAACAAAAGGGAGCATGAAAATGTAATATTATGAATATTTCCCCTGAGCCATCTATGCACATTTACACAGAAGTAGACTTCAGTAGGATAGCAAGGCATATATTCTGGAAATTGTGCAGTAGTACTGTGGCACAAATAAGTATTGGTTCAAGAGGTCTGAATGAATTCAAATATTACATTGTATAAGTTATTTTTAATGCCTTTCCTTTGAGGCGGTGTGCACATGATATGATAAATGTACAACTTTGTATAACAAGCACATGAGCATCACTATCACCAAGTTACTGACAGTTTGTTCACTGCTAGTGTGCAATTTACCAAGCCCTGCAAATGGTAACTGCCACTATACCATAACCTGGTATCTGGACATCCAATTTGGCAGCTGATTTGGATCCACTCCTAAATGGTAAACTACAAACCTCAATTAAAGAGCAGCATGCATACAAGGGATGATGGTTTGTATGTGCTTATTAACCAAATGTTGCAGTTATTGTGTCATATCAACATAGCACTGTTTATGAAATTGTATATTGTTTCTGAATGACAAGCTTTACTAGATCTATTGAAGACCTAGTAGCTGCATTTGCGGAATATGATACATTTGGTTAAGTCCATCTGAAGCTTTCCTGGGTGCATGAACCCAGCTCTTTTTTTTTTTTTTTTGGTTCCATGTTCTTTGAAAACCTAGGTTTTCAAGAGAAATTGTGGGAATAATCCATGGGAATTTCATTCAGGATATATCTTTCCTAGAGCTACCAAACCACTGCTGCAAAAGTTCAACAGATGGGGGAAAAAAAATCATCTTTTTAGGATCTTTTTATTGGCAGCTAGTGCATATATAGAGTTTTGCAGTCAGGTCTGTAATCGCTAATCATCTTCATGTATTTTCTCAAAATGCAAAGTAGGAATATTTTGTTCAGCTATGGGTTGCCATCTGGAAGGATAGAGATTGCAAGGGTATAAGGAGAAATCGTGACATGATGGTGACAAGAAACGCATTTTGTCTGCTATGTCTGCTGCTATGTCCATGTTAGTACAGCCTGGTAAATCAACTCTTATTTATTGTTTATTTGTTGTACATGACTATCTTGTCTTACTCTGCTTGCTTTCCATTAAAATGGCTTTGTTGTTGTTGTTAGTTGCGAAGTCGCGTCCGACCCATCGCAACCCCATGGACAACATTCCTCCAGGTCTTTACCATCTTCTGGAGTCCATTTAAGCTCATGCCTACTGCTTCAGTGACTCCATCCAGCCACCTCATTCTCTGTCGTCCCCTTCTCTATTGCCCTCAATCTTTCCCAGCATTAGGCTCTTCTCCAGTGAGTCCTTCCTTCTCTTTAGGTGGCCAAAGTACTTGAGTTTCAACTTCAAGATCTGACCTTCTAAAGAGCAGTCAGGGTTGATCTCCTCTAGGACTTACCGGTTTGATCGCCTTGCAGTCCAGGGGACTCACAGGAGTCTTCTACAGCACCATAGTTTAAAGGCCTCAATTTTTTTGTGCTCAGCCTTTCTTATGGTCCAACTTTCACAGCCATACATTGCAACTGGGAAAACCATGGCCTTGACTATACGTACTTTTGTTGGCAGGGTGATGTCTCTGCTTTTTAGTATGCTCTCTAGATTTGCCATAGCTTTCCCCCCCAGGAGCAAGCGTCTTTAATTTCTTGGCTGCAGTCCCCATCTGTGGTGATCTTGGAGCCCAGGAAGATAAAATCTGTCACTACCTCCATTTCTTCCC